TTGTAAAGTAATTGAGAGAATTTTTTTATGTTTGGTTAGTTGCATATAGAATAGAGTAAAAACGGTGCACTTCGAGTACTTATGAGCTATTTGATTGTGTGTAAATATAATACAAAGATTTTATTTTTCATGTTAACTAGGCGTGTATCATATAATTCTTATAAGTTTATATTTTAGTATTTAAATGCTCATTTTTCATTTATATAATAATTAAAAAGTGAATTTAGGCCCGTTTAGGGCAGCTTATAGGTGCGGCGGCGTTTTGAAAACGCCGCCTATGTGTTTGTTTCTCGCGGCTCCACCGCGTATTTGAAAACCGTGTTTTTAAATTTATATTACACTCGGATCGCGGGTCTATCCCCGCGATCCGTGTTTTCCATCCTAGGTTTTACTACGGTGCCCCTCGAAACAGTTCGTTTTTGTTGCACCTCTCCTCTTTCGTTCTTTCGGCGCTCCGCTCCTTCTCCTTGGCCGAAGTCGCTCTGCAGGTAAGGTTTTGTCCTCCCTCCGCTCTTCTCGTAGGTTTTGTCCTCCCTCCGCTGTTCTCGTCCTTCTCCTCTTTTGTTTCTCCTGGAAGTTCCTTCTGTAGAAACTATCTGTGAATATAGAGATTTTTAGTAGATTCACTTTAGGGTTGATGAATATTTATTGTGGAAATGTAGATCCATTAGTTTTCGGTGAATGTGGAGTTGAATATGGAGTTGAATGTGGGGGAAATGTAGACCTGTGATTTTAACTTATTTTTTAACATATTATATGTTTGATCTATGATTTCGGTGAATGTAGGGGATTTCCTTTTGTTGTTGTGGCTATGAAAAATTTAAAATATCATCAATCTTTCTCCTTCTGTGGAAAAATTTTGGAAATGTTTAATCGTTGCTTTTTTTGTCCCGCTGATTGATGCTGGTTTCTTATGAGGGGTGCCGATTTTGCAGTTTATTGATTGCTTTTGAGCTTTTGGAGGTAACCTCTATGAACCTTCATGGGTTCAATCTTTATGATAACTCATTCACTAGCATATATGTGCCTCATTTCCTAATCACATTTGATGTGCTAAAGGATACGATTTCTGGTTTTATTCCTATAGATTTGGTGAATTGCAAGCATTTGGAATTCCTTTAAGAGGCGCCGATCAGTGGAAGAATTGATTGGAAAAATATAATTCACTGATTTGGGTCTCCTCAAGCTGAAACCTCATAGCTCGCTGTTTTGTTCCCTTGGGCAATCTGAAACCTTCCATTTACAAATATGCACCCAAACTTTCACATGAATATTCATGATATTTCGATTTGATACTCTCATGCATAAGAATTAGATAATAATGATATATTTGTTTAAAGATTCAAGGACTTTGCATAGAACCATTGATTACTTTTTTTATAGGTGCTTGATGTGTAAATACATAATAATTGTGTGGTTTATATGCAAATGCTTATAAGAATTTCTCTTATGCGTGGCGGGGGTTGACGGGCTTATTAGCAATTGAAGTATTACTTTTTTTGGGTGTGTTATTACTGTGAAGGAAATTTTCATGCATGTCATGAAATTCTTATATATTTACATATGTAACACCTAAACTTTCATTTGTTCATGCATGCTAGCCCCTATATGATGAAGTTGCTATTAAATCTATAAATGCATAGGAACTTAAATGTTGAGTATGTAAATCCTCTTGTTCTTTTAAATATGAACATTTGCACTTGAGAACCGGGTGTCATAAAGGCATAGAATTGTTGTGGATATATGACACCAATGTGTTATAAGCTTAGATATCAAATTTTGGGTGGTTCAATCAGGCCTTTGGTCTTAAAAATTTTTTCTCATTCTTATGTGCTCTAGAAATGTCACTATTTAGGAGTTTTGAGTTGATTCATGTCCTACTTCGTTTTGAAGTATTGTTTATTGTGAGGGAGGCTTATCAATCTTCAATACAGACAATATAGAAGTATGAATTGTCGTTTATATGTTCAAATGACTCATTTCAAATGAATCATAGTAGAATAATTATTATGCTTTCCTTAAAAAAAATATTATTGTACATACGATTTTTCTCTTAAGCACCATTTTTATGCTTTCCAGAACTTTGCTGGTTTAACACATGACATGACATCCGAGCACATAGTTGACTCTGGAGAATGTCCCAGCCAATTTTACACAGAGTTCAATCAACCGGTGGGAAAATGCGTCCCAGAGCAGATAAGAAGAAAATTGGAGCCGCATTTGTCAGAGATTACATAGAGACGATTCTTGAATACTGCAAACTGAAGACTGCACCACCACCAACACCAACAACAAACAACTACTCAATTCAGGAGTGCCTTAAAATCCTGAATACATATCCCGGTGCTAAGGAAGATGAACCCATGTATTTAAAATATGTGAAGTTGCTAGGGAATTCCACTCGTAGGCAGTTCTTCGCAAATTTGGACCCAGAATTCCGTCTTTCTTACTTGCGCTCTTTTATGAATGACTGATTATGGTTGACAGTTGTTTTTATTTTAGAACCAGTAATTATAATAATTATGTGATGGATTTTTTGCTTCTATGTCTTCTTTTAACTTTATGTCATTGTTTGTGTCGTTACAGTTTATGTCTTCGTTTAACTCTCACGTTGTAGTATCTTTTCCGAATACTTCAAGTCAACGTTATACATTTTTAAAAATATATAATTTACCACATTTTGTCGAATTGATGAAGAACAACTTAACAACAACCGCAAAGTTGCTCTCGCCCTCATCTTCTTACACTACTATTATCATACATCTGTTGACCAAACCCCTTGTATGACATCAAGTCAGATTGGGAATAAATGGGTCGGGGAGCTATTATATGGACACCCGACAAGGTTTGCAAACATATTCCGTATGACCAAGGTGATATTTCTCGACCTTTAATGAACTGACCTGCTTAATGAGCTTCGGGACCTTCATCGATTACACGGGTCATCAAGAACAACTGCTAAAGTGGTGTTGACAATTACCCTGTATATCTTATCCCAAAATGAATCTATTAGGGAAGCTATGGAGCGGTTCCAACATTCATCGGAAATCATTAGTAGATATTTTTCTGTGGGTTTGAATGCGCTAGTGAGTTTGACATACAAGATAATAAAACTCGAGGATCCAACATTTCATACCATTCCCACACAAATTGCAAGTGATCCTCGATACATGCCCTTCTTCAAGGTAAGTGCCCAACATAATATTCATTTTAAAGAAAAAACATATATTGATTTTGAATGGTTTATGGGTATTTTATGCACCACAGGACTGTATTGGAGCTATTGACGGAACGCACGTCGATGCACGCTTGTCTCCTGCAGAAAAAGTCGCTTACATCGGACGGTGTGGATCCCCAACACAAAATCTCATGGTCGTGTGTGATTTCAATATGTATTTTACTTTCGTGATGGTTGGATGGGAAGGTAGCGCACGCGATAGCCGTGTTTTCAAGTTTGCTACTAGGAACCGAGAATATGGGTTCCCTTACCCTCCTCTTGGTATGTATATTTGGGATATTAATTTTGTATTCTACTTCCATTTATAACTAACATTATGCAATATGTAAATACTATTTGGTCGATGCTGAATATCCCTTATAAAGGGGGTTTCTTAAGCAGTATCCATATACTAAGTATCACATCCCAGATTTTGAAAGGTCTAGCGGTGTAGCACGCGGAAAAAAAGAATTATTCAATAAAAGACATTCATCACTGCCTCTCCCTCACCAACTCGTGAAAAGCCTCGAGTCCATTTAAACTTATCATTTTGTTTAATGGTTCATTCTGTAAATATTCTTAATGCTCAGTGAACATTGATGTCGTGGTTGATGTGGATTTAATGCAAATTCCCCCAGAAGCATTCGAGTATCATGTGGGTCGCACTATACCACAACTTGAAATTGATTCACATGAGACAAACACCAGAGATGGTGAAGTGACATTTGAAATGACAACTTTGAGAGATGGAATGACAGACGAGATTAGCGAAAATATTAATTAATGTATTCTAAAGCTTGGCAAAACAATTATGAATGATTTATTATGTGATATGTTATTATATGGCTGCTATGTCATTTGTTTGAGTCATATGTATGCACTATTTTGATAATGAAAGTTGGAGTCATAATAATTTTGTCAAATGTTGTATGAAGCACAGTTAATAATTGGTTGCTTGATATCCCGAGAATTTTTTATTTCGTGCATTTTTCATGGCTGCTTGATATTCCTCTGAGAGTTATATGGATCCTGTATTGGGTACTGTATGGAGATGCTCGGGTTGCATATATCAGATCTGTTTTAAGGTTAGCTTTGTTTCCACAAAATTTCTAGCAGCTTGGATGACCCAATTATTTAATGGCAACCGCTGCTATAAGAAATTTGGGTGGCATAAATTTAAAAAAAAAGGTTGAGCTGTTATATATGTAAATAGATAGGAATTGGGTGGTATGCATGTAATGCCTCTTTACCTGGCATTTGATATGTATGTTGTTGAAAACCTGCCCTGCTAACTCCATTTCCTTAGGATTTTCATCAAGGAAGCATTGGTATGAATTGTTTGTTACCTTAATGATACAGGGATACAAACTTATAAATTTTATTTAGATAAAAACAGAGAAAAAAGATTGAGGATGCTTACCTACAGATAAAAATGTATCATTTTTAAATTTGATTGTTAACAATCTAAATACAGATTTGGGTATTAATGTAGAGATCAATGCAGTTATGTTTCTACAAATGCAGATTTGGGTATTAATGTACAAATCAATGCAGGTTTGGAATATATAAAGATATACAAACTGATGATATTAATGTAAATTACATTTTATTATCTCTTGAGTCTTGAAAATACACTAAATATATTTTATTGAGACAACAGTGGAGTAGTTTGGATGGCCACAGAAATTTGTTGTCGGCAACCGCTGCATCCACACTTCCGTAAGTATACTATTTATATTTCCTCAAATTTTTTATTGATCTATTCTATTTTTAATAACTGCAGGACGATGAGTTCCAGACATTCATGGAAGCCCGAGAAAGTGATGTGTCGTTGAGGACTACCGTCCTTGCTACTCACGTCACGCCAGACACATAGCTTCGGGAGGCAGTTTTACAGGTGCCCGCGATGGGGACAAGGACCGGAAGACTGCAAATTCTTCAGGTGGGCTGACAGTGCAAATGTTTCTACGATATCCTAATTGGACACATATGCTAGAAGTTTGATAGTACCACAACAGGAGACCACCGCATATGGTTCGAGTTCTTCCGTTTCTACAGCATCCCAGTCGGACAGGTTTGCTCGGGGTTTTAAGGTATCAGAACCGGGCAACATTTGTCGTGATGTGCTTTTACATTTTAAAGTCAATATTGTCATATTTTTCCTTGTAATTTTAACATGTTATTTTTCCTTTTTTAAGGTCATATTATAATTCATATTAGTGTGTGAATATGTACTTCACTTTCGTAATGAGAACTTTTTGAGTCATATAAATGTTTTTGTATTCTCTTCTCTTAACATTTTTCATGTTGTGACATTTGAGAAAATAATAAATTTTGCTACACAGATTATTAATTTACAAACAACAACAACAACAACAAAGCCTTAATCCCACTACGTGGGGTCGGCTAACACAGATTATTAATTTAACTAAAAAAAATTGCAAATAAGTTGTTTACAAAAAACAAAACCAAACAGTTAAACAACTTATTCAGAACAGGGGCAGATTGATCATTTTTCCAGAATAAGCTATTTTTCATACACACAAACCAAACAGTCAGACGGCTTATCCGGATGAACTACTCATCTGCAGATTATCAGAATCGGTTGTTTATCAGCAAAAGTTGGATAAGCTGCATCTTTCCCAAACAGACCCTTAATTTCGAAAAAAAACTGCCTATGAAATAAGTTAAAATCTTTTAAAGTTAGGTGATTATTTTCTTAAAACTTGCTAAGTCATTGTCCTCCATTATATATGTTTGTGTGTGTGTGTGCGCGTGTGTGCTGTGACTCTTTAGTTGGCAGAGTTTATAAGGCCTCTGTGGTCGGGTTCAAGGTTGGTCGAGAGACTCGTATAATAGCCTTTGGCCAATCTTTTTTAATATATATATATATATATATATATCTCTGTGCCGTGTACCCTAACCTATTGGTTGACATCTACGGTATAAGACCCCTCAGATCGGTGGTTCGAATCTCCTAAGATATAGTTGGTCTTAAGGAGGTGATACTAGAATTATTAAACACATTAGGGGTGGTTGGAAACTCCCTCTTGCTATTCCTTTTTAATATATAGAGAGAGAGAGAGAGAGAGAGAGAGAGAGATGTGTGTGTGTGTGTGAGAGAGAGAGAGAGAGAGACGACTTTCACATGGTATGTTACATCAAGTCATAAAATCTTTTAATTACATTTTTTTATTGGATCTCTGGATGCAACAGGGCTTCCTATACTTTTATAATATTTCAACTGAGGATGGCATAAAACTTTTTACGTGCTTCCGCATTTTTTTGCGGCAATGCTTTTGAAGGCTAAGAAGAAAAACATTGATTTCAATGCAACAACATGGTAATACAAACTCATCTTTTATTAATTAGACAACAACAAGTTTTATAATGCAGAAAATAGAAGGTAAAACAGCTAGCAAAAAAAAAAATTTACATGGCAATCAATCATAAAAAAATGCCCGTTAATGCCTCACATGGACAACTTTGAATTTTCAGATAGAACATGCTCTCATAATAGAGAATAAATATTACGTGTGAATGGGATATGTGCGGATTTGGTGGTACTGTGGTGATATTCACGACAATACCATCATAATACTATCATAATACCATCAATCCGCACATCGGATCTCACACATAATATTCGCTCCATAATCAGATAGTGTTTGGCGGTGGCATGAAATTGATCTCAATATCTTAGTTCTGTAATATGACTGATAAGTGTACGTTTACTAAGAAGTGGAGCCAAATAAAACTTTAAAAGTATCCTCAGCATAAAGATCTTATTTCATTTTCTAACAATGAGTATATCAAGGCTTCTTACTACATTTCAGAATTAATATGATGGGAAAAGGTTAATAAATCACAGAATAAATGAGTTTCTCTTTTGTTTCATAATTTTTCTTACAGTCCGAAAGAGTCAAGTGAAGAGAAATATATATATGCTAATGGTTGAAGTATATGGCATTTCAAGTTGTGAAAGGAAATTTGAATTTAACATTCCCTTAAAGTTGTTACTTGTGAACAAATTTTTACTGGAGGAATAAAGAAAGAAGCAGAGAGATACACAAATAAAATCCTGTTTATTTTATTTTAACATTTTTATTTGGTCTCTCTTTATAGATACGAAAGGTGGCAAACTTGTAAACGGTAAATATGAATACATTTTATATGATATATATATATATATATATATATATATATAGAGAGAGAGAGAGAGAGAGAGAGAGAGAGAGAGAGAGAGAATTAACATGTGAAACTCTTGCTCATACTTGAAGCGCCGCAAGTTTGAGGCGCAGGTATGGCTCATTACCGCCTTTGAAGCGAATGATCTGTGGAGCAGATAGTAAATTTGCTTGTGAGAAGTTGATGTTGAGTGGGGGGAAGCGATTTGGTGAGTATATTCATTGGTTGATTTTCGGTCATAATATCCTAAAGATCTATATGTTAAAGCTCGAGATTATCACGAATAAAATGATCACCAACCTCAATTGTTTTGTGCAAGTGTGGAAAGTGGGATTGTGAACTAATGTGATTGTTGATGTGCTATCACTATAGAGTTTGGTCGGCTCTATTTGAGTTCTTGTGAGCTCCTGAAACAACCTTAGAAGCCAAAGAGTTTCAGTTGTGGCTTTAGCGAGAGCTTTGTACTCAACTTTAGTTGATGAACGAGCAATTGTTGGTTGTTTCGTGGAGGAACAAAAAAAATGGATTAGGAGCTAAATAGGCACAAAAGCTAGTAATAAAATTTCAATCATCTGTATCACTTGTTCAACGGGCGTCAGCATAAGCATGTAGTTCTAGGAAGATGGGTAATCCATAATTTAATTTACCTTTTAAATATCTGAGTAGTTGTTTGAGCATTTGATAATGCATAGTGTTTGCGTTATGCAAATAATGGATTAGAAAGTTGACAGTAAATGTTATATCAGGACGTGTTGCAATAAGATATTACAAGGACCTTACAAGGTATCTGAAGTGATGAGGGGCGGACATGGATAAAGTGTTAAGGTTGAGTTTATGTGGATGTGTTGGTAAAGGAGTTTAAACAAGTTTTGAATTAAGCATATTGGCTTGAGCTAATGTGATTGTTAATGTGTTATCATTGTAGAGTTTGGTCGACTCTATTTAAGTTCTTGTGAGCTCTTGAAACGACCATAGAAGCCAAAGAATTTCAATTATGGTTGCAATGAGAGCTCTGTACACGACTTCCACTGATGAACGAGCAATCATTGGTTGTACTTTGGAGGACCAAAAAATGGGATTAGGACCTAAATAGACACAAAAAACCAGCACAAAATTTTCTATCTTCTGTATCAGTTGCCCAACCGATGTCAGCATAAGCACGTAGATCTAGGGATCCAGATTTGATCGGCAATCCATGATTTAATGTACCTTTTAACTATCAGAGTAGTTGTTTGAGCATTTGATAGTGCAAAATATTGGATCAGAAATTTGACAATAAATGTTATATCCAGACATGTTACAATAAGATATTGGAAGGATCCTATAAGTGTCTGAAGTGATGAGAGTCGGACAAGGGTAAAGTATTAAGGTTGATTTTATGTGGATGTGTGGGTAAATGAGCTAAAAAAAGTTTTGAATTAAGCATATTGGCTTGATTTGATAAATAAGTGGCATAGTTTGTTTGATGTAAGAAGTATCCTTGTTTAGTTTTGTTGACTTGCAAGTCAAGAAAGTAAGAGAGATTGCCCAACTGTTTTAAGTTGAATTATGTTCCAAGGTTAACAATTAACATATTTATAACAACTGAGTTAGTACCAGTAATCAAATTTCATCTATATAAATGAGAAAAAAACTGCGAGTGTTATCATGCTGACATATAAGTAAGGAAGGTTTTGTAGTACTTAATTGAAATTGTTGAACATATAAAATATTTGAAATAGTAGAGTACCATTACATGGATGCTTGTTTTAGGCCATAAATAGCTTTTTGCAGTTTACATACATAGTGAGAATATTGATTATCAATGAATCTTGGGGTTTGAGATATAAATGGTATCTTCGAGTTTCTCATGTAGGAAGGCATTGAAAACATCAAGTTAATGGATTTCCCAATTTTTCATGAGTGGCTAATGTGATTAGCATACAAGTAGCGAAGAAACTAGCGACAAAACTAAACATTTCATGATAATCAATACCATGTTGCTGCTTATTAGGACATGTTGCTGCTTATAGTCCTAAGCCACAAGACATGTTTTAGAATGTGCAATAAGACCATTTTTGTGATGTTTAATGTGAAAAACCCATTTGCAGCCTAGAATATTGTGAGTTGGTGGCGGAGGAACAAAAATCCACGTACCTTGATATCGAAGAACCATGGACTCTTCAGTAGCATTTCTCCAATGCAGGTGATTAAAAGCTTGTCTAAAGTTGGTCAGGGTGTCTGGTTGTTGATTGTGTAAAAAGGCAAAAATTTTAGTTAGTTTAGCATAACAATTTTTTTATCTTGTAAGCATGGGTTGAGTAAGAGAAAGTGGTTAGGTATGGTAGGGAGGTGGGATAGTTATGGCAAAAGGAGTGGGGGCATGAGAGGGGAAATAGAGGCGGAGTGAGAAATATTGTGATCAATGTATAAGTGAGGGGAAGTAGAAATGTTGTGAGATTGGGATTGCAAGGTAGACGCGGGGACTATTAAGGAAGGTGGTGGTTGAGATAGAGAAGAAGATTTCAATGATTTGAAGGAAGTAAGATCATGATAAGGAATTTGATGATCAATAAACTAAATGTGTCGAGAGATAATAGTGCGTAGTTTGGGATGTCGTAGCAGATATATCCTTTGTGTGAAAGGCTATAGACCAGAAAAATGCAAAAGGGGGGCTTCAGGAGTAAATTTATATGTGGCAAGGGGGTACCATGGAAAGCATGAGCAACCGAAAAATTCTTAAATGATGATATT